TAGTCATACTCTATGATGTTCTGATTTGATTAATGCTTGCTTTTCTGTACTAACAATGGCCATACTATTTTTGGTGCTATGGGACAGATGGTGTTGCTGCCTTACAGCAAAAGTATTTGTTCATGTTGTCTCTCTCTCTCTCTTTTTTTTTTTCCCCCCCTCTTTAATGCATAGGCAGGTTGCATTAGCTGATCTTATAATCATCAACAAAACAGATTTGGTCTCAGGGGAAGAACTGAATAAAGTCAGAACATGTGCCAGGTATGAAACTTTCAGCATAACTATAGCACTTTACTGGCTCAGAAGTGTTTTTTATTTAAACATAGTTACTTCCTTCTTGCTGTTAATACAGAAATAAGATCTTATAGTTACAATGACATAAATCACTAGCTGAGCAGGGAAAAAGAGATTGCCTCTTTCTAGAGGCATTTCAGTACTTTTATGTCATTACAGAAGTGTAGCAGCTTCTCTTTCTAGGTAAGATTTGATGTTACTTACTAAGGACAGGCCTGTTCTAAGTGTCCATGCTCTTAGATTTTTGGGCAGCTATTCCCATTTTTCTGAACTGGCATCCGGGGAAAAAAAACCCCGCTAGTAGATAGGAGTTCACTAGCGAACACAAAGATGTATGGAGGATGTCCCAGATTATGGTCTTGGATGTAGAAGAACCAATGATCTGAATCAAACTGATGATCAAAGCCTTGTCCCATCTTTTTCTATCAGTACCATGATAACCAAAACAAAAAGTTGAAATTTTGAAATTCTTTACAACTCTATTAGTGGTTTGACTTCTAAAAGTAAAAATGCATAGACCCAGAAGAGCATATCATAAGGAGTTTCACACAGGAAAATGCTATTCTTACTGGTAGTGCTTTGTAGTCAGAACTGGCAAGTTCCCCAACCCTTGCTTAAGGTATGAAAAAATAATAAAAATGAACTCTTGTTTGGGACGTCTGTTACTTGGTTGGTAACAGAGTTGGGCTTGTTGTGGTGTTATTTCTCATGTTGCTTTCCATGGTTAAATTGTTCAAGCAATGTGTTGCAGTTGCATTTTCATCTCACTTCTAATTTTTCTATTTTATTTTAGGTCGATAAATGGACTTGTTAAAATTGTAGAGACACAAAGATCAAGGTATTAAATGGCCACTATTACGAGGTACCAGATCCTCCTTCTTGTGATTTACATATGCTATTAGATCATTTTGGTTAAAGGAAAATTATTGAATTAGAAATATTTAACTCAATATTTATTTTACTAATAAACATTTATATAAAGGAATGTTTTTAAGAAGTAAAAATGTGTTTTTCTTTGTTACTGTTCACATCCTGTACTTTAGTGTATAACTAGTTTTTTAGAAAAAACCCAACCCACTATTAAGATGTAGCTTAGTTTACAAAGCTTATCACTAGATTGTTCTATTGAATTTTGCAATATAACCATAAATATTTCTTATTTACATGAGAAGTAGATTTTACAAAAGCTCTGGCTTTAGTTTTTCCAAAACCTGCATTTTGTTCTAAGTTTAATATCAGTATGGATTTTAATTATTTAATGTTGCCATTTATGGAGTAATACCATTTGGAAAGTTCCTGAAAAATGCAATTTAGATGTAGTTTACTTGGCTTCAGCGTATTCAAAAAATGTAGCGACTTTTGAGGGAGTGTTACAGGTAGAAATTTGAAGTTTCTTGTAACTTGTTAGCCGGATCTTGTAACTGAAGAGCAGCTTGTAGGGCCAGGTTGTATCTGAGCTAATCATTGATCACATGTACTATAATAGCTTTTTTCTGTTTTGTCATCTTAAAGATTTTTCTCCCTTACAATGGCTGCTGCAGATAAGTTGTTACTACGAAAAGTGGGGCAGGGGAATTTATAAGAAGGAAACATAATTCAATAGTTTTTGCTCTTTTTTTCATTGAAATTTGGGCTCAGGTTTCTTCTTTAATAAGGAATTAAATCAAAATGGTATTTCCAGGACATTAGGGTAGCATTGTATCTTTATGACTACTAGGACTGATTTGTGTGCTATTGCATCAATTATTTTACTGTATTGTGATAAACATTCCTATAATACAGCTTCCTGTTTTGAGCAATTTTTGGAGGGAGAATGTTAGACATAATCTTAATAAGGTGTATTTGGCTTTTTAAAGTTATTGCCAGATGTAATTGAAAAGCGTAGGGAAAAATATTTGCTGTTCTTGGCTGATCAGATAGGATCAACAAGTGACTGTAGAATATGTAACTTACTTGGTAACCCAGGGTTTTGAAGATGGATGCTTGTCTGGCTTTAATCTAAAGATCAACTCAGTTTACCTTTCCAAAAATGTTAATCTTGTTAACATTTCTGTTTACTTCAACTTGTTTGAAAGTCTGTCTGCAGTCTGATCCCTGGAAGTTTTATGCCCTGCTCTTGAACAGTTGCGTTATCAAAAATGTTCTTTAGTGAATATCATATTAGTCTGTAAGGATTATTCTCATATCGTTTGGTTTACTTTGTTCAAGGAGGAAGGTGAAATGTTTAAGTAGCTTTGACAACTTCACACTCAAATTGAAACTTGCAAATTTTGTTGAAGAATGCTTAGAACAAGAGTAAATGATATTGTAGAGGAGACAAAAAATTCTGTTACTGAGAGGTATTGGGTGTTAATTCATTCAATTACTGCTCTTCTAGTGATACTCAGTAAATTTATCTTAAGTCAGCATGTGTCTATTAGATAAAAAGTTAATTTCTTCAATGGATTTTCTGTAATTTAAGGACTTATGTTCAAAACAGCAAGTGTGGATAAGCAAGCTTTCAATATTCACTAGCTTTTTTGGATATGTTAAGAGTTTTATGGTGTGAATAGTCTCTCTAGATTCTGCTGAAAATTTTAGACTTTTGTTCATTTGTCCTATTCTGTAAATTAACTATTATTAAGTTAGTATTTAATAAAGTTGAATTATATAAGGGTAACGCTACTGGCATTTTTCCCTGTCTATAAATGGAGATGAGAATGTTCTGGTGACTCCAACTTAAATTTAACCAAGATTTCATTCTAATCTTGGATATTTACTCATAGCTAATTTTACAATGTCCAAATTTGGATTTTATTTTTGAGACCTCACTATTATTTACATTTTCATGACTTCTATTCAGTGTCATATTTCTTCATTTAATGTATGTAGTTTGAGTGCAGCATGAATGAAACATTAAAAGACAAAAGAAGAACAATTAGTGCAAAGTGACGGAGTTGCAAAGATATAGTTTTAGCATTTCGATTTCCTCCTGTTTAGTGAAGTTTTGGGAATGTGGTATTAATTTTTAAAATTCTGGAACTTACGTTATGAATATTTTACCTTTGCTACAGAATGAGGAAGAAAATAATGAGAAATGATTTGGGCTTAGGAAAACATAAGAAAAAGATTTGCAACAGATTGCTCCAGCTGAAATCAAAGAAGTGGCAACATGAGAATTTTACTGAGAAAAAACAGTAGTTTTGAGAAAGCAGATCAGGAGATCCTTGTTCTTTAGCTGCAAGGCAGAGTACGGAAATGATCAGTAAAATGCTGTGGAGGGGGAAAAGAAGCAAACTATTGATAAAGTTAAATTGCTCATAAATTGCATATGTATTAATCTTACTGCCCTAGGATATCAGTGCAAGTTTGAGGCCGAGGTTTTTATATCACGAAAAAGGGAAATGTTTCTGTAAGGATGATGATGGTATCTAGCATGGCTAACTGTTTTGAAGAGGTTATTAAACTTCATGCTTTTGAGTCTTAAATCAGTATCTGTCCTCATCCATTTGGAAGAGATCCAATATGTGAAATGTATTCACATCTGTACTGTTCTGTGGTGTCTGATGCTAGCCAGCATTAGATTTTGGATATTAGACTACGTGGACCTCAGATGCAGTCCTCAATGACAGCTCTTCTTTTATTCGTAAATATTCTTTAGTGAATGTCACACACTGTCTATCCCATGATTAAACATTCCAGAAGTGAAATAATCACAAAATTAATTTATTAACATGTTGAGAACATATTATCTTTAATTAGGGGTTTTTGTCCCTCAAAAGCCAACATTGTGAAAGGGACTAATATAACACTTTTCTTCAGTGTTTTTCTGTATGATTTTTCATAACACTGCTGGGAACAAGAAACTGGCACTGAGTTGGTAATGAACTTTAGAGAGGCATTGTTTATGTGTTTTACATTATAAACCTTTCATCTTAGAAACTGCTTTGTAAAGCTAATGTTGGGTGTAAAAGTTTAATCATACTGGCTATACTCGAGAGACTCCTTTTTTTGGTTGTTTGGTTGGTTTGTTTTTAACCACTATTATGTTCCTTGTATTTAGCCACGTATCATTAACTGCAGTTAGAAAGCTGTCAGTTGCTATTAGCAATGAAACCTATAGTCTATATTGCTTTTTTAGGAAAAGCTGCTTACACAAGTTTATAGGTAGCTGTTATTACAAGTAAATATGATCACTGCTGTCTGTTCCTTATTAAATTTTTCATTTGTCTAACTTTCAGATGTTAGAGCTGAAATTTTTCATAGTAGCAGTTGCCTCATAGTGTATTTCAGTTTTGTTTCCTAACAGTGTGTCAATAGAAGCTACATATATTCCAGAGGTGGTTTGTGTGTTGAGAGGTGGGTCCATATTAGTGGATATTAAGGGTGCAGAATAATTGCTAGGAAGAACTTCAGGGTTCCTTTTCGATTTAGGGAAAATTGGTTATTATTCAGGCATCCAGTATGAGGGATTTTATAATTTTTCTTGGGAGTACCTTGTGTTTTACTATGTTTTAAAAATAATTTTTCTGTGGTGACATATTACTGTGTAAATACAAACTGCGTTTCCTTGAAGGGTACAATACCAGCCACCAGCATCCAAAAATAAAGCTTTGGTAGCATTAGAAGGATAGACAAGAAAACAAACATAAGCTTAAGAGACCCATTTTAAGAATATTTAAGTAGACATTATATTTAAATATAACAAAAATGCGAAATTTTCTTTCTTCCCTCTGTTTAGAGTTGATCTCTGCAATGTCTTGGACCTGCATGCTTTTGACTGTTTATCTGGAATAAGGTATGGTGATAATTTCAGTGGTCTTTATTAGAAATAATGTCCATTGTATAAATAAATGCATGAAATTGACACACTCAAATCCTGGCTTAAATTTGATTCTGAGTTTGCTATAAATTCTAGTTCAGTCACTTATTTAAAATTCTCAATTTATAAGTGGTGATCTGAAACAGAGAATTTTGTCCACTTCAAATGCATGCAAAAAGGGCTTTTTGACTTTGTAAAGTGAAATGAGCTAGAGTGTGCATGGTTAGTTGGCTTTATTTCCCCCAAAATACAAGTTTTATTTAAATAGTAGTAGAGCAGATTTTTACACGCTTCTCTGGTTCTCTTAAAACTTAAAGAATTAAAAAATTTTTCTCACTTTGCATCATGATAAACTGGAGGCCTCCTTAGTTTTCACAGAAAACAAGGAGGGCTGAGGTTCCACAACAAACAAAGCCACTGCAAATTCTTATTACTGCGTTCCATGTTTGGTTGTTCTTTTTTTAAATGCCAAATGTGAGTTCAACATGCTAGATGAGTGGAAAAGTAAAATTTGAGGTAAGGAGAGAAGGGCTTTCTGTTCACTTTGTGTGCTGAAATTGTTCAGTGAAGAGAGCAAGGGGTGCTGGAGCAATCGTAAAGGAAAGGAAGGAATATGCAACTGGAGGCAGTATCAGCTTTATTTTTCTTTCTGGATGCACACTGTTCACTTCAGGTAAAGGAACGTAACCACTTCCTTGTTCTCAGAAGGAAGAAATTGCAGAAGGTGCAAGCTAATAACCTCTAGTAGCTGAGATGCACTTAAGAAATTTCCCAATGAGCTGGTGCACTACTAACCAAAGGATAGCCTGCTTTTTCTGACTCTTGGCTGCCCTTTCTTCTTGCTGGCCCTGGCTTTTGTCTGATCTGTGAAAAGTAATGTTTGTTACTTTTGAGCTCCTTGAGGGTATCAGTCAGATCTATACTGATGACAGCATCAGGGAGGTATCAGAGTAGGCATTCAAAAGAATGTTAAGTGGGAAGCAAGGCAAATATATCCTTTATTGCTGATAGATTACCATTAGGTCATAAACCAGATCATAAATGCGTGTCCTGAGTTCTTATGATGGATCAGCTAGCTAAACTGACTCATCCTGGAGCCACACAGCAGAGAGGAAGCAGTACGATGATGTCAGATAGAAAAGGATTGTTCTTGATAATGCCAAGTCACAGTTAGATCCTGTTAGCTGTAGTATTAGGTGACATTCTGCAAGGTTTACTAAGAAGTGCTGTGCTCTACAAATCTGAGAAAGTCCTTAAGGAGGTCACAAAAGAAATCTTTCTTGGTCTCATCTTCTCTCTTCTCTCAATCATAGTTCCATTATAGGTTCTCAGTGTTTGGTATTAAAATACAGGACACACTCTAAAACTGCAGCATTTAAAGGTAAATTCTAAAAGCATCAAGAAGGTTGGAGACTGCTTAAAAGAAGTTCCATTTATTTTGATTTTATTTGAACTATGCAGTGAAATTGAGCACAGAGCTCAGTTGGGGAGCATTCTGTGGGAAGCTTCTGTGGAGGATAAAGGAGCTAGCAAATGCTGGCACATTTTCAAGAGTACTCTCCTGGAAGCACAAAACCAGTTAATCCCCTTTAAAGGTAAGGGAAGTAGGCAGAGCAAGAGATCCTCTTGACTTAACTTTGAGCTTTTGAGTCTGCTCAAAACCAGAAGAGAAGCGTACCAGAGATGGAATTGTAGATGAATACCCATTGAGAACTACAGGGCCATTGCTAGGGTATGCAGAGATACAGTTAGAGATGCAAAAGCTCAGCTCCAATTGACATTGGCCAGAGGTGTCAAAAACTACAAGAAAAGGTTCTTCAGGTACATAAACAACAAGCAGAAACAGATGGAAAATATTGTCCTACTGTTAAAGAGGAGAGGTGAATTAGTCTCCAACAGTGCTAGAAAGGCAGAGGTTCTCAATGCTTTCTTCACCTTTGTCTACCACCACTGCTGGATCCCAAGCCTTGGAAATAAAAATCCAGGTTGATGCAAACACAGACCCACTGTCAGTGAAGGAAGAGCTGGTACATAAACTATTGCAGGAGCCTGACGTCTGCAAGTTGATGGGCCCTGTCAATATCCATGTGAAGGCATGAAAGGACCTGGCTGATGATGTTGTGAGGCCTCTCTCCATACGCTTTGAGAAGTTGTGGAGTTTGGGAGACATCTCAGAAGCCTGGAAGAAAGCCAGCGTTGCCACCCACCTCCTTTAAAAGAGGTGGAAAGGAGGAAAAATCTCCTCAGAGAAGTGATGGATTCCCTGACATTGGACACTTTTAAGATTTGGCTGGACAGGGTGCTGAATCATCTTGTCTAGGCTGTGCTTTTACCAAGAAAGATTGGACCAGAGGACCCTTGATGTCCCTTCCAACCTGGGATTTTATGATACAGTATTTCCCTTAGTCTTACAGATTTAATTCTCACAAGCAACATTTCTGTACATTTCTCTTTTCTTGCTTTCGAAATAATTCTTCTAAAGTATTTTCAAAAAATCAACATCTAATAAACAGACAGATTCTAGTGATTTTTCCCTTCTTACTTTAATGACGTACTTTGCCTTTTGTTCCTGCACAAAAGAATATCAAGGGTGTTGTACTTCTTGAAGTATAAATATTTAAAATTCCACAGATACTGCAAATCATTATTGTAATTCTGTTTATATTTTTATAATCTAATGTTCTAGCTGAGATCATTAACTAGATCAAACCAGTATGATTAAACATATCTCTTCTGAGATTAAAACTGAATTTACAGTTGAAGCTTATACTGACTATACTATCTGTCTTTGGTATTTTAGTTTTGCTCTGCAGTATTGAAGAGTTTATTTAAATTCTAAAATAGTGGCAATTTGTCTATTGTAGTAAAATGTGACATTTAACTTTACTTATTTTCAGTTTGCAGAAAAAGCTTGAGCATGTAAAGACAACACATGCACATCTAGATAAGGTAATTACCAAAGCTACTGCTTCAATCTTTTTCTAACAGGGTTGTTCAGGGTAATGGTAAGCATTGCATTCTAATCATGTTGCCTTTTTATAGAAGGTTTTAGTTAAGGGCTAATGTATTTTAAGAGCTTTGGAAAAATACATTAGGAATGTGCTTTGTTGCAGATAGATTCTAAATGGTTATAGTAAGTCTTGCTTTCAAAAATAGCTTATAGGTTTCCAGTGCTCCAGACAGCGACATCACTAATTGATTCACATGGAGAGTGTTGCTGAAACAAACAAATAGCACTTGTCTTTTTAATATTTGCAGAATCAAGTCCTGAATTTGTAGCCAGTCTTTATCCTGTATATTTTCTGTTGTCAGTGTATGTGGGTATCAGAGAGATGTTATTCATGACTTTGCATTCTTTAAAGCTGTAATAAAACTTCACTGAGTAGTTGAGCATGTGTAGATTTCCATTCTGTGAGTGCTACTCGTTGTTTTCAAAGAAATAGTAACAGTTTAACTTGTAACAGTGAGGTAGATTCTGCTATCTAAAGTAGGTATCAATCCTGTAAGCTGCACGTATGCTAAAAAAAAAGAAACAGTTCTGTTGATGTTACTTTTAGTATGTCAAATTAAGCTCTAAAATGTATTCGCGCCCGTGCTCATCCCACTACTCCACCCAATGTGTGTTTATATCAAGGCAGATTCTTTTCCTGTGTGCATTACAATGATGCTAACATAACACAACTGCAAATAGCGTTTCTGCCTTTCTGGGTTTTATTTGAGCAAAGAAAGTTCGTGGTTTTTTTTTTTTTTGTGATAAGCATATCCAATTTCAAAGATGAATTTAAGGAAAAAGGATCTGTTCCATCATCCCTGCAGCATATAAACTGTTCTGTGCTAATTGCTACTTTTAAGCACCTGACTTGTCTATTATGTACAGATTTTACTATAAAGGCTCCCTTTTAATTTTCTTTTTTTTTCTTCCTTGTTTTTGTTTGTTTTCTGAATGTTATCATCACAGTATCTTTTTCTGCTTAGACCCTTCTCAAAAGCAGAACAGTCTTAAGTCAGAGAATTACTGAATTATTGCCAGGCAACAGAAACTTACAAGTGCTGATTTGAGTACTGAAAAAAAGAAATACAAGACAATTACACAAATACTTACATGAACACCTCTCCTCCTTCCCTCTCTCCCCCAACTTTCCCTATTTTTTTCAGTGGGTTACACTTAGTCTAGCCAAGTTCTCCCAGCAAGGCCACATATGGCATAGGAAGTGGGGGGGTGTTTGTGTAATGATTTTATGTCCCTCATCACTGCTCTGTTCCTTAGAGTTCCTTTCCCATGGTTCACACAGGGCCCTGAGTACCTGTGAAGTGCCCTTGTTCTGTGGGTAAACAACAAGCTGCAGTCTCTCAGGGGTGTGCGTACCCAATTTGGCATGGCATGACTTGCCTCCTCCAAAAAGTCTTCGGTCCCAAGTGGCTGGAGGTGATTGTATCTCTAAAAGTGTACCATGTGTTTTTCTGCCTAAAGATGTGTGAGATAGATATGTATTTTTTTTTACTATTGTATGGTTTCAGAGCTGGCTGGAAGAGGTTTTGATACACAAGGCAGTACTATTCCAAGTATTGCATATGCCCCTTAAGTGCACACCCAAACAGAACCAAAAAGTATACAATAATATAGTAAATCAGAACAGTAATGGAGACTTTTTTTTTTAATTTGACATGGGTATATAATTACTTATTTATTAGGCCAATTTATAAAGAACAAAAGAACACTCTTTGAAATTAATGTAATGAAATGTTTATTCAGTTTGGTAATAGTAAGTGGGTTTTTCCATTTGCAGGGTATAATTACGGTAACATTTGAAGTTCCAGGAAGTATAAAAGAAGAAAACTTAAATATCTTTATTCAGGTATGTAATATATCACTGTCAACTGAAAAATCAAAGTGACTTTTTATAGAAAATAATCTCATGCCATTCTGTTAATGAAAACTTTTCTCCTTTTTATAGAATCTTCTGTGGGAGAAGACTGTGAAAGATAAGACTGGGCGCACCATGGATGTCATAAGACTGAAGGTTAGTCAGAAATGGCCAACTTCTTTGTTTTGTGCTTTTTCTGTTTTATATGTAAAAAACTGCAGTGTGCTGTAGGTTACAGACCTATCAAAGGTGCTACTGGATCACTGTAGCAGAACAGACAGGATGGAGAATAGCAATTTGTCATTGTTCTCTGTAGAGACAGTTATCTGCTGGCTGGTGGAGCAGCTCAAAAGAAGATGGCTGACAGAGAAGCCAACACTGATCCCTCTTGTTTTAGATTGAGAGGGAAGATGCACAGTACCCAGCATCAGTGGAACATTTAATGGTCAGGACATAAGTAACTCACTTTTTCATTTTTCATCTTCCTTGCTTTGAGATGGAGTGCTGTCATAGATGGCAGGCAGGAAGGCAAGGAAGGAAAGGTGGTGGGGTGGCCACATATGTTAGGGAATGCTTCGACGGCCTAGAGATTAGCAATAGTGACAATAGGGTTCAGTGCCTATAGATGAGAATCAAGGGGAAGGCCAACAAGTCAGATATCGTGGTGGGAGTTTGTTATAGACCCCCTAACCAGGATGAAGAAATAGATAAAATATTCCATAGGCAGATGAGAGAAGCCTCGTGATCGCTTCCCTTTGTACTTGTAAGGGACTTCAACTTTCCCGAATATCTGCTGGAAATATATCACAGCAGAGAGGGATCAGTCCTGGAGGTTCCTGCAGTGCATGGAAGATAACTTCCTGACACAGCTGGTGAAGGAACCGACAAGGGAAGGTGCCCTGCTGGACCTGGTGTTTGCTAAGAGAGAAGGTCTTGTGGGGGATGTGAGGGTTGGAGGCTGTCTTGGGCATAGTGATCATGAAATGACAGAGTTTTCAGTCCTTGGAGAGGCAAGGAGGGGGGCTAACAGAACTGCCACTTTGGAGTTCTGGCAGGCAGACTTTGTCCTGTTTAGGGACTTGGTTGGCAGAATCCCCTGGGAAGCAGTGCTGAAGGGCAAAGGAGTCCAGGAAGGCTGGACACTCTTCAAGAAGAAACTCTTAAAGGCACAGGAACAGGCTGTCCCTGTGTGTTGGAAAATAAGCCAG